AAATTCAAATATCGCTTATTAAAGTTCGCTTACTAAAGATCGCTTATCTATTTACTCGATAGTCTTAATTTAAAAAAAAATTATAAATTTAATTCATAGACCTTTACTCGTTATATATATTAAGTTTAATTTAATATTATATTAATCGATAACGATTTATTTTAACGACTACGCTCTAATCGTAGTTATTATATTAATTTAAAATCGTTATCTCTAAAAAGAATTAAAAAATTAAAATTATTAGACTCGAAGAATTTTAAAGTTATATAGTAATATAAAATTAGAAAGATATAAATATTTATATATAGATTTAATAGTAAAATTAATTGTTAAGAAAGTAAAGAAAACTTAAAGAAGGTTACTTACTTAAGCTTCTTCGCTAAAACTTCGCTAAGTATATATTAAGCGTACGTAGACTAAATAATCTAAGATTCTCTTACTTAAAATTTATAAGCTTCTTTTCTAATACTTTAATAGTTACGAACGTTAATTTATTTACTTATAATTAATATATATAAAAGAATAAGATAGAGCTAAGTTAGAAAATCTTTAATTTATATAATTAATTAATTCTAAATTTAATAGATTTACGCTTTTTAATTAGATATCGCGAGTAAATAAATTAGCGTTCGTAATTATTAATATATTCTTTCGCTACTTTTAATTATTTAATAACTTTATAATTTTCTATTAAAAAAAATTAATTTTCTTTTAAATTATAGCTCGTAGCTTACGTATTTTAATAAGAACTTAAATTTAATTTTTAATATTATAATTCTTTAGAGATATAGAATATAAATATTACTTATTAAAGTTTACTTATTAAATTTACTCGAAAGCTCTAAATAAAAAATTAATATATATTATTTAAATTTAAAATAACTTTACTATTTTCTATCAAAATTTCATTTTTTTTTTAAATTATAGAGTATAAATTATATAACTTAATAATTTAATAGCTATAAAAATTAATCTTATAATTATTTAATAATAGAGATCTTAATTATCGCTTATTAAAGTTGACTTATTAAATTTACTCGAAAGCTTTAAATAAAAAAATTAATATATATTATTTAAATTTAAAATAACTTTTCTACTTTCTATTAAAAACTTTTAATTTTTTTTTTTTAAATTATAGAGTATAAGTTATATAATTTAATATTTTAATAGCTTTAAAAATTAGTCTTATAATTATTTAAAGATAAAGAATTTAATTATCGCTTATTAAAGTTTACTTATTAAGCTTACTCGATAGTTTTAATTAGAAATATTAATTATAAATTTAACTTATAAATCTTAACTCGTATTTAATTAAAAAGCGTAGCGAACTTACTAGTCGAAAAGATATAAAAAATTTTAAACTTAGAATTTTTTAACTTTTACTTCTTTTCTTTAAAAATTTATATCTTTATAATCTATTTATAGAATCTTATAATTCTTAAAGCTCTATAACGAGGCTAATCTATTCTATACGAGATAATTTTAAAATACGATAATTTATATATAAAATATCGAGTAAGATTAGAAATATTCTATATCTTTTAAAATAATATCTCGAAAATTATCTAAATTTCATATTAAATATTATATCTTTTCGACTATTAAGCGAACTCGAAATTATAATTAATTATATATATAAAACTAAGATTCTTTAACTTAGTTCTATTTTATTTTATTTTATATATTAATATTATATATATAAGAGTTTTCTTATATTAAAATATAAGAAGTATATTTATTTAAACTTATTATTCTTATTATAAGATAATATACGAGTAAAGATCTATAAATTAAATTCATAATCGTTTTTTTTAATTAGAGCTATTCGAGAGGTCGAGTAAATTTAATAAGCGATCTTTAGTAAGCGATCTTTAGTAAGCGATATTTAAATTCCTTATCTTTAAAGAACTATAAGATTAAATTTTAAGATTTTTTTCTTATCTAAAAGTTTATATCACGTTCTATAATTTAAAAGAAAAATCTCGAAATTTAAATAGAAAATAAAAATGTTATTCTAAAATTAAATAATATGCATATGTTTTTTAATTAGGGCTATCGAACTTTGATAAGCGATATTTGAGATCCTTACCCTTTAATAATTATAAGATTAAATTTTATAACTTTTACGTTTTTAAAAAGCGCAATATTCGCTCTATAACTTAAAAAAATAATCTTAAAATTTTAATAGAAAATAGTAAAGTTATTAAAGGGTTAAAAGTAGAGTAAGAGATTTTAATAGTTACGAACGCTAATTTATTTATTCGCGATAACTTAGTCGATCTAGCTAAAAGGCGTAATAACCTCGAATTTATAATTAACTATATATATAAATTTAAGATTTTCTAATTTAATTCTATCTTATTCTTTTATATATATTAATATAATTTATATATTTTTTTAAAAATATAAATATAGTAAGTAAGTAAATAAATATATTAATAATATATCTTTATTATATATATAAAGATATTTAATAAATTAATAAGTTATTAAGTTATTTTATTTTATTTTAATAACTATAATACGCTTTTCGCTTTAATTAAATATAAAATCTATTTAATAATATTCTATCTATTATAATCTAGATTTATTTTTATAGAGCTAAGTTTTAAATAAGATAATAAGTCTTTTATACTAGTATAAATTATTCTTAATAATAATATTAATATATATATTTAAATATCTATTAATAATATTAAGATAATAATAATCTTTATATAAAATCGATACTTACTTCTTTAATTATATTTTTATCTAAATATTATATATAAGTAACGTCGTTAAGTATATAATTCTAAATTATAGGTAATTGAATATTCGATTTCGAAACCGCTGGCTGCTGTAGGTACTCGCAACATCACTTCAGATAGCGGTAGCAGTGACGTCGTTTACTGTGGTCTTTTTGGTAGCCGGGTAGTTCAGAGCGCGTGTTATTCAAAAAATCTGGCGCGATGGTATCTGCTGAGCGAATGTCTTAGCCAGCTCCGAGATTCTCCCTGAGTCTGCGCACATGAACTTCTTGGATGGCGAAAGAAGTATCACTGTTAGTGACTGTGGGACCTCTGCTAAGCAAAGTAAGCAAGTGCTTCTGACATTCCTCAAAATCATTGAGAAGCCCGTTGGTCTCTTTTTTTCTGCTGACGCAGGGGGTAAAGATCATGGCAAATCTCCTAATTTCTCGGCCATTCTCATTCGGCTGACAGCTGTTGGTCAACGCAGGAATTTAATATCCGTCAGTGCTCTCCCATCGGTGCTTCCCGGTAGAAGCTACTTTTCGATTCGGCCGAGGATTCTGGCAAAGGCGAGCTGAATCGAAAACTGAGTGAAGTTCATGCATTCCTAGTCATTACGTCAGTAAATGTAACACGCCTTCGTTCAGGTGTTGGTTATCGTGGTTGCATCAATCCTTGCCTCGTCATTGACTGCAGTATCGCCACTTCTTGTATAACTGCACACCCACCCGCTTGAAATATGACTAAGTAAACTTCTGCTGAGTTCATCTCAGAGTCGGCCTCAATGACTTTCGTGCAGGTCTAGGCCGTGCTACGGTGATTTGATGGCATGAGGAGCCGTGAGCTGCACCCAGAGTAGTGTTCTGCGACACCATGGAATTTCAGCTTCCGCGATTAGACCGCCTGTTGACCGACGCCCGCCAGTTTTTACCTGTCCTTAATTCACCAAGACTGTACTTGCACGAGCCTGGCCCGGGTCCGAAAGTGCAGCATCCTACTGGATGATTTAAGCGCCCCCCCGAGTAGAAATAAAATATGTGCACACACCCTTTCGGCGATCCTTCAGTGATCAGAAGGACAGTGTGGGAAGACAATCTTCTAGGTCTGCTGCTGCAAGTTTATTCAAAGCCACCTGAGATCAATTAGATTCATCCTGGATGGCTACTTTGGTTGCAACTGGCGGTCGCAGCCCGGTCTCTGGCAGTGCATATCCACCCCAGGGTAAGCGCTGCCTGCACAAGCATAGCAATCATCATTTAAGGCTTCACAATGCTGGATTGTGGTATCTTTTGGCCGCTTCACTGCTTATGCGCGCTTCAACTTGGTATGGCAGTCTCTCCGATATGTGGTTTGACATCCAAATGAAGACTTTTATTGTAGCTCTCTGATCATTCCCGGTCCGCAAAAAGGATCCTTTTGACCTAGTCAAAGATCTAAGTCGACACACGGACGGATTGAACAGCTTTGTTGAGGTTGCATTATCTCCAAGCGGTGAGCTGTCACACTTAACCTCTGCTTCTCTTTCTAGTATTGATCAGTAATAGTGGTGTCCAAGAAACCTTAGAGTACCGTTTAGTCTTTCCTCATGTTAGATGAGTCTATTCCTCCAGCTACTCTAATGAGTACTCCTCCTTATAGAGTCCGAGCTTTCCCGGCCCACGTGTTCTAAGTCGCAGGTTCGAGAACGGACTTTTAGGTTGCTCCCCACTTCGGGACAGCATTTTAGGCTGCTTACTGTACCCGGCTTACTCACCGAGCATCTCCGAAATCGATGTCTCGCACGATTTTTCAGGGACTTCCCCACAGGAAAGGCACATGCCGTCCCCACATTTCTAACATAATCTCCGAGCGTGATCGCCTCTGTCAGCTTAATAGGTCCTCTTTTGGGCTGTTCCCACACCCTTGAATCCACATTATGTGTGTCTAGGCCCTTGTATCCCTGATGTGTAAGAGCGGTAAGTTGTAGGATTGGTGCTTCCAGATCTGTTCGGCAGGCATCCGCATGCAGAAATGAATCCGGAACTCTGAGATGTGAGACCATCCACTACATCCGGTCTAAGACAGTAATGTCCGAAGCTCGCCAGTTTTTCATTTTCCCTCAACCACTCAGGTCTAGATTCTATGTATAGGTAATGATGAGGAAACCGCAGACTGACATAAAAGCATCATACCCGCTCACTTTACACAGCAACACAGACAACTTTCACTTACATATAATCTCCAAAAAGTATCATCGAACACTTTTCGATCAAACGACCTCTCTTCAACATGAAGTTCACTCTTCTCTCCATCCTGGCTGCCTTCAGCGTCACCACAGCCAATGCTGCGGTCACACTTCCGTGAGTACATTTCAAGTCTTCATTACCTTTTCTCCCCTCAGCCTCGAGACATACTCGAATCGCTGAACGTCTCTCAATCTTTGCTTCTTGCAATCAAGGAACAAGGCTAACTCTCCGTAGTTCCACAGTGACCGTGACTTTGACTGAGCCCACCGCTGCCCCTGTCACCATTACGCCCCCCACTCTTCCCCCTGTGACGGCCACCATCACCATTCCGACAGTAAGCGTCATTACTGTCTCAATATGCACTGCTAGCATCCCAACTGTGACCGAGACTGTGACGTGAGTAGCGCTACATTCTGATCCAAAACCCCTCTACGCTTCCGTGTAGTGTTGCTGACGTGAGGCGATTAGGCTTTAATTGGCGGCGCACCGGACTGCTTGGAGTCTGCGATTGCTCAGTAGTAGCAGTTGGGGCCAGGAGATCACCCAGAGGAGCCTGTGGGGGGAATTATTTATTCTAGTCTATTCAACATCAGACCTCAGAATACTAGCCAATAAAAACGCGATTTTTCACGGCGTACAATACTTTCGACCCGTTTGTCAAAGTACAATCCACGCGCTACAGTGTCATCGTTAATTCGTGTGAGTCTTCCAGATCATACTTCGTAGTAAATGTATTGCGAGTTTTTCCTTTGTCTCCGAAGACACTCCTGTGTTCTCTCTCGTGCCCGGAGCTCCTCGACAAACTGAACCTCCGCCCCTTCTCCTGTCTTTTTTTCCGTCAAGGAATAACTTATACCTGTAGCGCAAGGCAGTAGACGCTCCTCGAAAGCACTTCATAGGGAAAAAATGTATAACTCTAGAGCCCAGTTCTTCAGTCAAGGAAATGATATCAGCAGAACGAGTGCGGCATTTCTATAGTGGGCGTCGATAAAAATGCCATTGCGACCCTGTACTCCCTCACTAAAGTTGAGGCTGACTACATGCATCTGGGCTGCAACAGAGGAATTTAGGCACGTCCACCATTTCAATTTGAAGCTTGCAACGGATGTGCGAAGTCTCAGATAAGCGGAGATCCTCCCAACAATGTTAGAGTACAAATTTGACAGGCTCCGGATACTCAAAAGGAGTTTAGCGACAGTGGTCGACGGAAGAGATGCAGGGGACGCACAGATTATTCTGGCGAATCGGGGTTATTGAGAGGCCCGGAAGGAAAGACCGAGAAGGACGATGCGATTGGCGGAAGACGGAAATGTCCACATCGCCTCCACACCTCTCGAGCCGTCACTCATCTAGGCTACAACCACAATATTGGTGACTCTCACAAGATTAAGATCGTCTTCGAGCACGACTTCAAGGATCTTTTTGGTCGTTGGTTCAGCTCACCGAGCGACGAATACCTGATATCGCCTTGGGATGACTGATAAGGTTCCGGGGACTAGTTGTCGAGATCGTACCAAGTAGAGCTTGCAGATGATCTAAGTGGAAAGATTCGTAATCGGGAAGCTGTAGCGTATTCGTCAGAAAGGTTACAATAGATAGAGGAACAAGGACGGTTTAAGAGCTGTTGTAGGTGAGTCAAAATCACAGCTGGAGTTGGAGTTGACAATGATGTCAGAATTGAAGACAATCGGCACGCATTGCATGTTTCGAACTACCTCAGGATTCAAGCTGGATATTCTGGATCTCGTTGTCTATCTCTCCTTCATCCTGTGACCCATTCTCCCTTGCTGCATTCTCCTGCTTGGCCTCCATATATGCATTGTGCTGCGTTAAGAAGTTCTGCAAGTTCTCATCCTCTCTCTTCATCTCCTTCTCAGGGAAAATGCGACCAGGTTCGGGGCGGACTCCTGGATTGTAAAAAGATCAGCAACTTTCATTTGGGAAGAGATGGGGAAGTATCTAAGTACTACTCAAATCACGGCCAACAAAGTCCCATGCGCTTCCATTGCTCTTGTAATGGTCCAAAGTTTTCTCCATCTCCTCTTTGGCCCCAGCCGCATCTCAAGTCGCTTGAGAGCGGAGCGAAGCACCTCCATGTCATGTTCCCTAATTTTGACCCCACATGCCATCGCGTATGCACCAATATACACTGCGAGTTCTCAGAGAGTGATTCGCCCATCTCGCTCTCGTAGTGCATTAAGATCTTCTGAAAGAATCCGTTGTTGAACTTGTCCACGACATATTGGCGGCTGACTGGAGAGCTAATGTCGAGCTTTAGGTCGCCAGTCATCACGATGAATTGTGCGTAAAGCAAGAGAGAGATCGTATTTGCTGCTCTCGTAAGATTTAAGGATACAGGAAGACATCTTGAGTGATGGTTTGCTGATTGGAAAGACCGCGGAAGAGAGTCAGCAATATCGTTTGGGTGAAGTGGGCCAGAGATCCATACTTGCAGCGTAGGGTAGTGTATCGTTGACGGATGTAGAGTCCAAGTTTAGAGAAACTAGTAATGTTCATGAGGTCTTTGGAGCAGTTGGATTATGGATGCTCTTGGGTTCAGAAACTAGGAAATGGCAGTGAAGGTGTAATGGATATAGATACTAAAAGAGGTAGACTGGCAGAAGGCGCAGATCTGTTTCACACTGTGTTGTCGCCCATCCTATAACTTTCTGCCATTTCAGTTGACGCCTAGAAACTTGAGGGCCAATAGGATGAGCTGTTACTCGGTGGGGGGAAAAAGGAAAGTCCAATCGGAGTAAGGTCTCCGACTCCTCATTTGAGGCGAAGGCTCTTCTTCATTTTATTTGGTAGCTCCTTCTAAAACGCTTCGCCGCAGCAAGTGACGACTGGAAAGCTGGAAGCCAATGAAGTGAGTTGTGATTAGATGAGAAATGTCCAGATTTCGGTCGGAATCGGTTCCTTTACTGCTCACGCGCCCAAAACTTATGGTTAACACTTTGGCAAAGGGCGCTAATTCTGTTTCACTTTGCGGTGTCCCCTCCCATTAGTCCTGATCTTGAGGCCAAAGTTCCTTGCTTTATCGGCGTTTACAGTATCCTTGACCCTCTCTCCCAGGCAGTGCGTTCCAAGAGGGTGGCCCACGCCACCTCTTCTTTCCTTTGAGGAAACCCATCTCAAGCCGCCCTTTTCATCGCTTTTACGACGCTTCCGTTCTTCCGTGCTCCCGTATTTCCGTTCTTGTGTGCGTGTTTAGCGCCCGACAAACACCAAACATCCAATAGTAGGTTGCCATGTATAGTACAGGTTATCTCGCACTGCCTGCTTGTTAAGCGATTGGCTTCGCACCGCTTGAGGAATCTTCTGCATAGCACAAGGATCGACATGTTCTTTTCCGTCCTTTGCTATTAGCCTTACACAACCTACGCTTACCAGGCGTATCTCGTATCAGCAAATCCCCAACGGTCTATTCCGTGGCGTCTTGAGAGATGGATTGCGACAGTGATCTGAACCCTTTTTGCCTCGCTCGCAGTGCTGCCGATATGTGTATCTTCCGTTTCCTTGGTCTTGGTCTTGCTCTTGTTTCTTCGCACTGTCGGAAGCCAAAGCATTCCTCAGCTCGCAACTCTCTAGTCAAGTTAAGAGCGGAACCAAGGAATATTACGAGATTGGTGCAACCAATGCGATACTCAGGGGCAGGTTCTAGACTTTGAATAGCAGTTTTCCGACCATAGAGACCATCCTCGCCCCTTTCCCACATCAACACTTCGATTCCAGTCAAAACTAACCATTCCACCCTATTTCCTGCAAGTCTCTATAGCTGGTGGTTTTTTTTAACCCACTAACTGCAGTTGCCATTCAGGGTTACTGCTCAGTTCGCGGCAGCTGGGCGAGAAGGGGCTTTCTGATCACCTGCCAGACTTTGGAAATGCCTAACGCACAGCGTATCCGGGTCCAATCTTGTCGGAAATCTTGTGCCGACCCAGGTGGTGCAAGCCTGTGGAACGCGTAGCTACATGATGAAGTGGGTTCAAAAAACCAAGAATGGCGAAAAGCAGTCCGACGTTTGAGTATGATTGTTCACACTTACACATCAAAGCAAGACAGTATCCGAATGCGACTGACCTCTTTCATAGACTGTTTGCACATGTTACCTGAAGCTTTCTCTGGATGATGATTTGACATCTCGTGAGTGGAAGGGTTATTCTTCGAACACAGTATCGTGGCAGGGCATTCAGATGTTGAGATATTAAATTTGTCTCCATGGGTTGTGTTAGATAACATCCAGACTGTATTCGCAAAATCACCAAGACAATTCGAGAGTAGCGACTCAAATTTACGCAACCGAAGTCGGACTCTTCTGTAAGGTCTCGCTCCCAGTCGAATGTCCTAGGAGATTTGCCTTATCATCACACAACTGTGCCATGTGAATGTCTTTTGAGGAGAGACCTCGGGGCTTATGTGTCGTCCAGTGATAGAACACGGATTTGTAGCTCTGAGGGGAGGTAGTAAGTCTGTTGAATTTCTAGTAAATTGAGCTGAGATAAGTCTTACATTCCTAAGGTCAGGGTGGTGATTGTACAGTTTGGTACCTACCCCGATGAGAAGTATGAAGTCCTGCACGAGTTTGAGCTAAAAAGCACGACGATGAAGGGAACAACTGACCAAGGCTTTGGCATAAGTGGGGAAGTTGAAGGTCTTTTCAAGACCCTGCTGAGTCTCGTCCAGCGCCCACTTAGATTCAAGAAGGGCAGCGGTCTCTGCCATCAGCCGGTTCCCATCCTCGCCTTCTGAAAATCTAGGCTGCACTATACCTGCCATGCTAGAGAAGTGTACTTGAAAGTTGGGGGGTTGTTTGATGCGACGAGCAATCAAATGCAACGCTTGGAATGTCATGAGTAGCCAATTTCGGTCGAGGTTTTTATGTTGTTTTGTATTCACTATTGAATGTTTTGAGGGTGGCAGAGTAGCAGACACGATATGTTCAGTTTATTACAGGAACATGTTGCAAAGTTGGAGAGGACGAGGGTCAAGGGCGATTGTGACGTACGCCAAGGCTTCTGCATTAGTGATCTACAGAGGTACTTTACTCGAGCATCATGAAATGGCAAGTGGCGAGAAGGTTCCTCTATTCGTCTCATGATACAAGCGGTTGGGAAAATCTTTCGCTTCGCAACGGGTCAAAAGACTATTCACTCTACGCTATGGACAAAGGGCCGGGTCTACCAACCCAAGGCATCAATAACATTTCATGCGCCAATCTTCTCATCACCTCCAAACTTCATGATCCTACTGACCATCACCGGATTTATAATAGTATCTCATTGCCTGATAGACTCGAATGAGGACTGAAGAGATCCCGACGATAGTGCTAGGCAGCCAATTTCGACATCCATACTGTACAAGCAGCCGTTCACCGAGACGTTTCCAAAATGCCGCCGCAATTCAAGCCACCTACCCAGTGTACTTGTGAGACACCGCATTTCCTGAATCAGTAAGTTTAACCCAATCTTGAAGCACCAGCGCCCACCTCCCTGCAAGGGTATGTTTGGTCAATACAGGAATCTCCACATGTAGACGCAGGAAAGCCGGCAAGGTTGCAATACTGATAGCCTATGCTAGCGGCGGCGCTACTAGGGCTTTTTCTCTGTTCCATATAATGTAGAGCTCCGCGACGCTTGGAGGATAGGTAACTATAGCCTCAACTGACTCAGGTCTGTCTGCCACATTTGCAAGAATTCCTCTTCCTACCATGCCAAAATGCTAGATCACAACACAAACATCATAGCCAGCCGGGTATTTTCACTCTTTTGTTCATGACAGCGCTCGTGAATATTTTCTTCAGCTCCGCTCGGACACGCGAGACTCTCAGGGATGGTGGAATTTACCAATAGCTCCTGCAGCTGACCTCAAGAATTGCTCGCCCTGCTTTTGCTTTACTACTTGTTTGTAGTATGAAGAAACGCAAATTGTCATCTGCTCCTTCTACTTCGACAAATACAGCAGCCAGCCAAGATTTGATGACGAGACAGGACGCCATACAGGAACCAGTAGACTCCATACTACCGTATCTGCCATCTGAGAGAGATTATTCATTGCTACTCTTATTGCGCTGTCTTGCGTTCTACTGGGATGATTCGTGATTGGGTGATGGGCGGAGTTAAAGTGTTTAAAAGTCATGAGTGAAGTATCTTGCTCAAGCGTGCTCGGTTACCCCAGGGTCTACGAACTAGGAACGCTAAAGTCACAGCACTCAATGCTGGTTTTGGTTATGCCCAAGAGGCTCGACTCACAAAGATGTGTCTTTTGTACAACGCTGGGTTCCGTACTTTCTGTACCCTAGTATCTGCAAAAAAGCGAACCGATGTAACGAGTAGCTGCTGCAGATGTTCAGCAAGACATGAGATTTTCAATGGCCGCAACTTCAGCAGATTTGTCCTCCATCAAAGTTGAAGACGGTGATATAGGAAGACACATTGACAGACCACACTGAAATCATACCATGGATAAGTTCGTACTGTATCGCATTTTCAGCGGTCAACACGTCTTCGCGTCGCCTGTTGATGTGTTGAAGGCTAGTGGCTTGGCAGGACATATATCTTCCACTACTGCGCGGCATCTTTCTTAGTCAATCAACATCAACATCGGCGTGCCACAAATCGCCCGGAACAACGTCCAGTAGCTAAGTGATTCTCACACTGTGAGCTATCAAGGAAATGGCGTACGTCGCGCAGAACTCCGGAGCAGAAGGAAGCGGTTTCGAGTATCCACCCGTGCCCAACGCGTATCCCGATCCGTACTCGACTTTCGACACCATCAACGCGTACAATCTGCATCACGTGCCGGCTCTAAAAGACCGCGCCGAGCCCGAGCCATCTCACGACCATTCTCATGGATACCAAACGGTGGCATTTTCCAACCGAGCACCGCCGAATCAGGTCTTCTATCCATATCCTGGATCTGAAGTCCCTCCGCTGAGAAGAATTGCTCCAGCCCCTTCGCCCACGTCATCTCTGGAAAATGGAGTTCCTTCATCTTCCGCATCCATGGATCCTGCTGCCTCATCTGCAGCCGGTACAAACATCAGCTTCGTTTCATACTCAACTAAGGACGGCTACAAGAAGAGGTCGCGCGGGACTACGGGAAGCATTGTCTGCGATAAATGTGGTTACAAGTTTACAGTTGCTTCTTCCTTGTCTCGACACAACAAGACTTGCCGTGGCAAGAAACGAGTCAATCATTCAACCTCAACACAACGCAAGACCATCAAGCCCAAGAATGTCAGCATGGCGTCAGTCCACATCATCGATGCCTTGCCAATTACCAAGCCCAGAGGTGCTTCTTCGGAAGAGCGAAGCCAGTTTGTGGAGTCCAAAGCCAACCTCCATGCCATGCAGTTCACCAGTACGGTAGTCGATTATGCGAATTCTCACAATGCAAGCTTGATTCCGGTCCCAAATACAACAGACCCTGATTCCCAGAAGCCATTTTTGATTCAGTCTTATGTTCCGCAAGGCCCGGACACGTCTACGGATCACAAAACTTTCTTCTGCGACATCTGTCCCGGAACATTCGCACGTCGAGACATACTGCAAGTACACAAGGCCAGAATCCATGGCTTGACAGAGATTCCTTATATGCCAGAATCAGGAATTATTGATAGACCTCGGTATCTTACTGGTGTGACCTTCGATACAGCCAATAAACACTCACGTCTAGCACTCAAGACCTTCGAAGGCGGAGGACTATCAAGCAGCCCGTGCCAGCCTTGCACCTTGGATGGCCTAGAATGTATTGTCAACCCATTCTCTTCGTCGAAGTGTTCTTACTGCAATCACCGAGACAATGGCAGACCTTGTGGTGCCGCCGGTGTCAAGTATCTGTAAGTCATCAGAGACAATTATGGCATTTTTGTCTTCCTCCTGATCTCTGTTTAGTCAACCTCGAAGGACTGCCGATTATCAGAACGCATTCGTAGCAAACCAGCCAGACTTTCAGGCGGTATACGAAGAACACTGACAGCAAAGATCACGGATCGGGCAGTGTACAGAATTTCGAATCTATTCATGTTTGACAACTGCTAACCACTGTAGCAGTGCCCCAATGCAAGACAACATTCTCTTGGATCCCAACACTTTCCCAAACGCCACTTCAGACGAATATGCACCAGTGCCATGCTGAATGGAATGGGAATGGGAATGGCATGCGTCATTGATGTGGATTGAATGTTGTGGGGCAGGAAACCGTCTTTAACCACTGCTGAATGAGTCAATGATAAGAATGGATGGACGCTCCATTTTCCCAAGAGAAGTCATGTAATCAATGTGGCGTTCTCGCTGACTACCACGTCAATGTTCTCCTAATGCACTTAAGCTTATCGCTCTTTGCGAGAGCGCCTCATAGCAGAGTCTTCAAACGCTCTTTCCGCAATGCCCGCAAACGCAGACATTGTCGCTATCAAGTAGTAAACTGCTCTTTTTTCCGACGTGGGACTGACGGCTTCTCTGACGCTTTCGAAAAGATTACGTTTGAATCGTCGCGAAGAAAGGTTATGAAAGCCCTCACGCTGTGTTTTCTTAGCGTTTTCCGTAAAATGAAGTATTGAACCATGCGAGGTAATACACTTCCAGGACCTCGACATCGGGGTGACCGCCAGGCAAGTCTATAAAAATGCCATTGACTGCCTCGTTGGTGGGAATCCCGGAACCAAACCTCTAATGTCTATCTAGCAATCGCAACAAATGCTGAACCTGTCCCTTTCCGTAAAGTTCCCAGTCCGACTGGTGAACCATCCGCCTCTACCACGAAGGTGCACTCTCGAAAAGAGCTTTGTTTGTACATATACCTCGGGATCCTCGACAACACGTAGATCACGGCCTGGAGTTCCAAGGGATGTTCGGTTCTTTCAGGAAAACTATACCGCTTGACCTCGAGAAGGGTGCCAGACTGAAAGTCGAGTAGCGAGACTACTTGCGGGATAGCCTCTGCTCGAGGATACCCAGCTACAGCTACTAGGCCGGCGTAAAAGGTTATGAAGACGCCGTACTTAGTGATGCGGGGTCCATCAAGATTAATAAAAATATCGAAGGATGGATCCGTTACTCGGCTGGAGGTGTTGATAGCGATTGGGTTGACGAGCGAAAGATTGCTGTTATCAGAAGACCGTGGTGTTTACAAGGACGATGGCCCCAGCGTGTTGTAGCGTCTGATCCGGCTTGCAGTTGAGATGCTTCCCACGATCCCCGGCAGATGAGACCTTGTTCCACTGATATAGATATATCCAACCACTTCTGAGTGCCAAGCGAGATGAATCTTGACAGATGTAAAACTACGTTCCGCCATATGCTTGACCCCATTATACAGACCCCATATTGCGAAGCGAACCTCCACCTTTCCGCCAGGTCTGGTAGCCTGGGATAGGATAGTAACATCTGTGCAACCAGGCCAAGACCAACTGCTTTGGTGAGTATGGTCCTCGAAGGGGTATTGCGAAAGTCTAGCCAGTGTCTTGAGGCCGTTCATATAGGTGGATTTGTCGGAAGAGGTCTTCGCCTGTGTCCTCCACTAAGCCGGTAAATTGCGGATCGATTTCAGGACTAGACTCCAACGTTGTGAGATTCCGGAGACTGAAGGAGCCATTCTGATTGGGAGAGAAATTGAGATACGGTGTCGCACTGGAAGCTACCAAGGTCAGCCCATAGAATCCTAGAGGAAGAGAATACATCGCAGTGCCGCAAGATGTACTGAACCTTCAAAGAGCTGGGGAAGAGCTGGGGAAGTATTTCAATGTATGTGGGTAGAGATAGCGTTGCACGATGTAATGAACGTCGCAATTCGTATAAGGATGATCTTGATATAGGCGATTTGCGATGTCACTCTAGCCAAGAAGGCGCAACCAAGGTGAAAGCTGGGTTTTCTTAGCGAAAGGTCTGCGTCCGTTCAATTGGCGACGACTGGTTACCCTCTGATGAAGAGTCTCTTGCTGTCTGTAGAACGCGTATACTTAGAGATTGCTACTAACACGTGTCCACTCTGAGATCCGATTTGCGACCCATCAGCCCACAGTCCCCACTGTGGCGAAAAATATGTTCTGTCAAAACATCTGCGCCCGTTTAAATCTTTATTTGATTATCACGGTGATGTAAGGTGTTTGTTGATTTCCACGATGGGCACTACCCCTATACCACATGATGTGGAACGGAGGTGGCACGGAGGTGGAAGAGACCTGAAGGTAAACCCATTTCTGGTGCTCGGAGGCGCCAACCGAGATTGCGCGTCAACATTGGGCAGGCGCATACAGCATAGCACCTTGGAAGTGGGATCATCCTGTATGATAGTCACATTCTGCGATTCCAGAAAACTCCCCGGCAGCACCTCTGAATCATAGGGACATCCACCGCGACCGTCGGCAGCGTGAAGGTATAACCCGCCACCGTCACCTCCTGCCCTTCTCTGAATCCCGCGACAGCGATCGTACACTGCAGCGCCACATCGACGGCCGTAGCGCTAGTGTTTGCCAAATAGCCGAAGTAGAAGGAGTGGAGGTCGAAGGACTTGAGGTTTGAGTCCGGATAGAGGATCGTAAGAGAGGGTGTACCGTTGGTCGCTTGTTGTTCGAAAGCTGTCACGATGGGGTTCAGCTGGGAGTGTGCTGGCACGCCGACCGTGGGAGGTTGATTGTCTACGGCCCAGGGGTTTAAGAAAATGTTGACTTCAATGCCGAGGGGGTTGAGGAGAGTCAGGGCAGGCTTGATGATTCTGTCGTCAAACTGGGCGGAGTATTGAAGAGAGCACTCTAGGAAATCTGATGAATGGGACATATAGCTTACGTCGATATCGTAGGTGATTGCTTTCGAGCTGGCCGATGAGGTTTTGGTCGAGGTGGATGATATTTTGGTGAAGACGGTCGTTGGTATTGTTGTTGTCTTCGGTATGCTAGTGGCGGTTTCGGACGAGCTGATCGAGGCCTTAAACTGAGTGGTGGACATACGAGTAGGGTTTGTGCTTGGAGCACCGGTCGTAAATTCAATCAGGGCCATGCATGACACCAAGAGGACTGTGGGGAATTTCGTTTTGCAGAAGAAAATCTTTGAGCAGGATTGTCGCGCTGTTACTCTTGAAAGTACGTGTTGGATGGGGAGTCCATTTTTTATAGCCATTTAGGTCCAGCAGAACGGAACGATATTAATTAGAAGACAGTATACTACAAATTCATGACGCTGTGGACCTTGGTAGATGACGTTCAATAAGAGGTAAGGCTGCACTAACAAATATGAGAGGTTGAATCTCCACATGTCGGTCCTGACGGTAGTTTCGTAGAAGTGGTGAAACAGCAGCACTTCCTACAGACCTCGATAGTGTCGGACAACATTTCCAGCCCATGATATGGTGAAGAAAGGAGGAGCTAAGCTCCACGTCAAAAACCACTAATTGTTTTGGTGTCAGCTCAAAAATGGTCGAGTCCGGCATCTGCACCAGGCCAGGCCTCCAGGCTAGATGTCTGAACCAATGGTCATCTCGGTCGCGAAACCCTGAGCATCGCCGAGACCAAGGCGCCCGTTGGTTTGAATTTCAGTCTGAAGCCTCAGACTAGTCCAGACTGAAGCTATAGAGTCCGTAGTCTGTCCTGGGCCTTTGAAGTGTAACCTCACAATGCCTCGCGGACCTTGAGACTAGAAAAAGTTCAGACTAATGGTGCGCTATACCGTTTCAAACCACTGGACGCCTGTTACCAGTCCGAATCTGTTGCGGTGATGGCCCAAGAACCAGAAGAAATGGAGATACTCGGCAGAGATCGTTTCTCCGCGGAGTCGAGAAGATGGTACTGATCTAGAAACGCCGACAACAGAGGATGGAATTATGGCTTATATGTGCTCGGAAACGGACCTTGTGATTGACTTATCCAATGCACGACTAGTACGTGCATTTGGTGAGATCGCTGTTAGGTTTTAGGGCAAACTGCATGCTGCATCCCAGATACTCTTAGGCGCTTGTTGCCCATGGCGGAAGGGGGAAGGCGCCGATTCCGATGCTGATTCGTGGTGTGCTGCGCCTCAACGGGTACGTATGTAGTGATCGAGATACCATGAGAAGATAGCTCTAGATTGGATGAGATGGTCTTCTACTGATTTTTCTTCCTTCGTGTTCCAAGACATCAAGTTGCTTGAACAATTGTCGTTAGGATTGTAAGGTTGAATATGGCAAGGGCGCCCCAGAGTTGCAACAACTATTCATAAAACCTCCCGAAGCATCCGAGTATAGAAAGTTGTAGACACATTTGGTACAATGTTGGATTATACAGCTCTACGAGCAAAATCATCTTGCCAAAATCGCCGACACAAATGGTATATGCGGGTTACTCTTGTACTTGCCCTTCAGTGTACTTGCTAAAAAGAATTGCGAACCTCCCTTTCATGAGCACGAATCGAGGACTCACAATGAAGGGAATTTGACTTATCACATGAAATATATAACTATCGAAGTGCGACTGGCAGCTAGGTATTGGATATTCTGCGTAGTTCGTACTAGTGCAATTGCCAAGGCAGTCGCGGAAATTGTCGCCACAGCTTGACTGGGGGCTAGTGAGGGAGAGGCACAGCACACTTATGGCAGGATAGCCGAGATTGCCATGCTGGAAGAGCCCCTCTCGTCGCAAGAAGAGCAGTCGCGGAAATTGGTGTTTCCGTTGCCGAGGTTTCGGCACTCAGCAGAACATGTAACCTCGAGGTCGCTCCTACGGCGTGCAAAGACGAGCGCTTCCTACGCTGCACGCACAACTCTGACTGCAAGGGCAAAGGCCGGGTAACAATACCCTGGCAGCCTACAAAAACGCTGCCACAAACGCCAGCACAGTCTCTCCTCCCGCCATCGCAGGCGGTGTGTTCATCGATACGACCAACAATTCTATTTCAACCTCGTCAACGTCATCTACCATCAGTCCCACATCTTCAACAATGGCGTAGGCGGGATAGTGCTAGCAATGATGTGATTGATAGTAGCAGCGAGAGCTCAATAATGTACAATAGAGTGAGTGTGAGTAAATGTGAGTTGTAAGATACCTGGCGTCGTTACCCAACGCCTCCCTGCTGGCGGATTTAATTGCAACATTCAATGTCAACCCCGATTTTCCTCTCTCGTCATGTTCAGACCAAGGCCCGTGATTAATATCGTTCATTACTAGCCAGAATTTCGAAATTCGAAGCGGAACGGTCTACTGTTGTTCCACATCTGCAGAACATGACATCTACGAGAAAGGAAAGGTCCCGAGCAAAGATCGCCTCACGAGAAATAAGCCGGGCAAAACATTCACGTTGGTAATCAACCAGAGAAATAATTCTCTCTTCAGCATTTGGAAAGTTGTGACTGATAATAGCAGAGAAGAACCTAGTCTTCGTTAGCCTAGGCAGCGGCACCTTTAAGTGTCTCTGTCGCTGGGTCGCCCTAACGAGAAAATGTCTTTAACCTCTCAATGCTGCAAAATTAGAGGACTAATGATGAACATATGCTGCACCTTTATCTACAATTAAGACCGCTCGCATGATCTGGCATGAATAACAGAAGTAAACCCCCCTAAACTTAGGAGCCTAGCCGACAGTCCTTACTCGTATCAAACTCAACCCGCTCAATAACACCCACAGCATCGGATAACGCCACATTTGGCGGCCCCTCAGACCCACGTGCCATGACCCTCGAACTTCCACCAACCCTCACCACCTCACTATTGTTCAAACGCTTCGTGCACACTCCCCCTCTCACCAGCAAATCCCCCCGCCTTCCTCTGCTCTACCTCGATCGTATCAAACTGATGCAACACATCACGCCACTTAGGCTCGACGACGCCGATTCCACCGGGAACGTTCAAATCGTAAGCCGCCACGACGGTGTTCTGCGCGAGGTCTTCATATATGTTACTCTGCGAATAAGGATCCGGCACGTGGGAGTCCTTTGCGTATTGCGCGTGCCAATGTCTGGAGGTAGAGAGGGGATTGTCAGGGTAAGCGCCGAGAAGGTCGAGGGAGTGGCCGGTTTCGTGGATGAAGAGGGTCAGGTCGCGGTTGATGCTTTCGAACATTGCAATGTTGCCGGCCCAGTTGTAGGCGCTAGTAAAGTTGGTAGCTGCGAGATGAGTTAGCTTAGCCAGATACAAAGAGAGGTTGGGGGGGAAAGGTTTACGATCAGGTAGGTTGACTATGTGGCGGACCCACTGACGCGCTCGCACTGGAACGCGGCCGAAGAGGTCGATCATATTTTCGAGAGGATCGGGGCTGTCTATGTGCCGGCACAGAAGCCAAGGATCGTTGGGACACTGTCACCATTAATAACCTGATTGCTGATCTCGGAGAACGCGACGTTGACACTGGTACCTACATCTTCGTATTGAACGCTGAAAGTCTCCACGTGAGCCACAGACAGGTTGGCGTTCACCGTCATGGTCTTGCAGTCGGAAGGGATCCAGCCAGGGGTCCACTTTTTGTATGAGCTCTTCACTGGGCCCAAATACTCCAGAAGTCCCTTCTGAAGATAGTCCAAACCGGTCTCAAGCGGAGGTTTGTCAAGACGTTGCGTCAGCGCCAGCGGAACCAGAGAGCCCGCCAACCCGATGAATGTGGCACGCATATCCTCTTTTGGAGAAGGAACGGATCCCGACTGACGGCGGAGGTTTGTAGTAGAGAGAGAGCGGACCAAGTTGAGTGGCTAGAGGAACACAATGGATCATGTGCGAGACGAGGGAGAAAAGAAATGCTGAATCCAAGTAAAGCAGCATGGATGGAGAGCTTTATACGGGAACAGCGCAAGTGCGCTTTCCTTTCACACCGTGTAGCAGGATTAGGCACCGCTAACGGCGAAGGGTGCTCAAACGTGGCCTCGAACAAGCCTGCCAGTCATTCCCAATAACACTCCATCGTTCTATACACTTTGAGTATCACAGCTGGAGATTGCAGTCCGACACATACTGAAACCATCGACGGGCAGTACAAGAGGCACTGAAAAGCGCAGCTTGATCAAAGCTTGCCTATCATTGCAATTGACACTCAATGGTCGGACACACTCCGAGTATAACAGCCGAGGCTACAGTCCAACACGTACTGATACCATCAATGCGCAGTCTCCGTCGCAAGTTCAGCAATTCGGAGGTGGCTGGGTTGTCGAGGCAACTTCGAAACTGAGAAGTCTGCGTACCTGCAGTGGAAACCAGTGGCTGTGGTACCGTGTGGTCACGGAGACAGTTTTAAGTTATCTTAAAATAATATTACTCCAGCCAGTTGACATTGGACAATTTCTTCAGCCTGTCTCGCCCTACCATCAACTTGTCTCTTTTGCTCTGCTTTGCGCAAGGAAGCTGCACTCCCGAGCGTCGGCCCGTGAGAAGACCATGGGCAAATGGTGATCTGATTGTAGTCGGAGTCCAATAAGAATGTCTAGGCCACCATCTCAATAGCCGAATTTCCTTGCCAGCTCAAGCCAGTGAGACATACTAGGCATCAAACATGTGTGGGATGACTTTGGTATAAATAGCTGAAATGAGGAGGCGCCGGCGGCCGCAGGTGGCGAAAGTAAACGATTCGGCATCAACCGCGCGTTTCTTTTCTGGTGACACTTCAAAACCAAACAGGTTTTAAGCTGTATGAAGCAACATGAAACTCGCCCAGTCAAATGCTGTTCTTAAATACGTTTAGCGCAGGATGCGAAGACTGCTGACATTGGTAAAGGCACAGGATACAGGAGGAAAACCGCAAAGGACCACAAGCGCTATGCGATGTCTCAGTAGATTCAACTATGAGCTTAAGCCTTGCCTCCACAACTTTGAGCGACAAAGTTGCAATCATCGTAGACTAGATGCCCGACAGCTTCTTCCCGATCACAAGAGCGTCTTTCTGAGGTCCCTCAGAGTACTCCTGACTGCACCACCAGCTCCTTTTGTTCCATTTGCGCGTCCGCGCTCTAAATTTGGTGGAACTTGCACATCATCCCACCAATGCGGAAACTCACCTTTGCCTCCCTGACCACTCTCCTGATCCTCGTTCGCCTTCCAGACATAAAAGAACCTGTTGGCGAGGACCCCCCAGAATGGCGAGCCATGAGGCAGCCTACCGGCAGCGGCATCTATCCAATCTAAGAGCACTCTTGAGATCACCTTACTCTGGGCGCCCGGTTCGTAGTCAGTGAGCCGTTCGTTTGAATACACCATGGCCGTAATGAAGGTCGTTCTCGTTGCTATCTCGGTCAGTGTGAGATTACGAGAGAGCGGCGCCGGAAAAATTACGTATGTCTAGACTTTCTGGGAACCCAGTGCCCGGCTGCACTATCCAGTCGAGGGTCTGCCGAATAGACCTGGTCCCAACACCTCCCCATGGTGTCTGTTGTGATTCTTCTCTGGCTCCAACACACTCCTCGATAATCCGTCCCACCATATCGCGAATAGTATTGCCGGAAATGTAGACCGCAAAGTTAACCTCTTCCGTGGGTTTTCCCGATGCAGACACTTTGATGCTACACTTTTCTACGAGAATGATCTCTATCAGTATCTGGGTCTTCAAGTCAATTACAACGGACCTTAACTAACCATCGCCTCTTTTAATTGGAAGTTGCGATTGGAATTTCCCTGCGGGACTCGACTCGGGATTGGTAAACCATGGGGACTGGTTGCTGCCACGAGGTAAGAGATCCCAAGTACTTCGACATTTATCTCCGTCGAGCGGGCGCTCTTCCGAGAGGAAACTGGAGCAGCGGACAACATCAGGCGCAATTGGAGCTGGGAAAACGGAAAGACCTCCATGATACGCTGACGCGTTGGTTGCAAGTGAGAAGTTTGATGGTAGTAAGAGCGACATGTTGTAGTAGTTTGATGAACCGATCGGAGCTATGACCATCGTCATGTGCAAACTTGGTCTACTAAATGGAAGAGCTGAAGACATGCGCTCAACAGGAGGGTGTCGGCAAGCGGCTTGAAGCGGGCACCTAGTCGTTTGTCGCTTGTTTCTGAAACCTTCATTAGCGGCGCGATCTGACTCAATACATGCCAAGGACTTGGTCCTGTCATCTTGGAGCGTTATTGCCCACTTGACTCCTTGAGTTTCTGTGTCCAGATGTAAGTAATTGCACTGCCTCAAGTAAACAGCTTATCGGTCAGGCTAAGCGTCTCCTTTGCAACATTTGAACAAGGTACAGGCCCATACAAGTGTAGGTATTCACACACTGGATGATATACAGTGTTCATACGTTGAAACATAGGTTTGGATCTAGGTCGAGTTGTGCGACCTCAGGGCATGGATTTGGGGTCCTACGAAAAAAAAAATTAACTCGCATCGTATCGTTCTTCGTTCGCCATGAGGGATGCACAAAAGACATACCTTAATCGACAAGTGGCCACCGTTTGAACGTGAATAATTTATCTCGCTAGGCTGGCAGGTGGTGCTGCTGGTTACCGATAATAGCACCAGTGTCTTGATAACAGCAAAATGTCTTTCCTTTTTTACTCTTAGCCCCTTGTTTCTTGCAAACCTATTTCATCCGAAGTCCTCCCTTGCTTTTATCCACTCGACGTATATCTTTGCAAGTAGTGTTCGTCGAAACGAAGAAACCAGCCCGACAGAGAATGTCTGCCATGAACGGCGAATCTGGCCCTAGTCAGCCCAGAAGAAAGACTGGAACCCCAACTTGATTCTAGTGTTCAAGTGACTTGTCATGATTCGCCGCAAAACCTAAGATTACAGACTGACGAGGACTCACTAGGGTACTATTGACGATGATGCTCGTCACACATGATACATCGGATCACTGTGTCACACTGCGGTTGCCAAGATGCTGCAAAACATGTAGGAGCTCGATTACCAAGCAGATGGCCAGAATGGAACAGCACCGGATCTTTCCACTCATGCCATAGTCTGGGATGTAGCGCAAGATCTTTACATCAAGGGCTTGAAAATTGAAGCCGCAGACGAATTCATATTGGGTCTCTCAAAATTCAATATATACTATAGGTAAACTTGCTTCACCTTGGCGCACTTCAAAAAACTCGTGACGAATTAGGGGAAATCCTGGGGCGTGACATCCGATTCCATCAGCTTCCTCCGCAACCAAGTGTTGACGTAGATCCAGCAGAACATGCAGGAGGGGCTGAAGGAGAGGGTTCTCAAGAAATCCCCCCAAATTCCGGACTTTTACGCGCTGTTGAAGACCGAGCGAAGTAGATAGAGCACCTCGACACGGAGAGTGGAGCCTAATCATTGTTGAGATTTGCTGCAGCACCTGTGTTGTAGCTACCCCGCAGGTGGCAAATAGGGGGTATAAGTAGCCTTCCCTCAGCACTCTCATAGCTACTTAATCAATCAATCCTTCATACCATTTCCAACAATCGTTGGGGAAGGACAGTGAAGCTTTAGTCAGCAACAGGGACCAAGTAGATGGGTTCATATTTGAGAAAACCATGGAGCACTTATAGGTTGACTGAGGATGGAAATATGTTGGCTCATCAAACCAAAAGTACAGGGCAACGTGGAGACTACTGAAGCATGTGAGCTTTCCAGTAATGCTAAGTGAAACAACAACCCATCATTTCCACCGAAAAATCCAAATACTATGTGATTGTCCCACTTATGAAAAGCACATACGGCACACAGAAACAAAGCACACATAGAATATGAACAAATGATTAGGCCGTCTCAATGCCAAGAATTACAGGTCTGAATAGAGGCCTGATAAGACGTCGTATTCCTGAAAACATCAACGTCATATACACAAAAAGGGGCCACACAGGATGTAAATAAATGATTGGGCCGTCTCACGTCGCGAATAGCAAGCCTATATAGAGGCCTGAACAGGCATCTTCTCGTACTCCAGCGTAAAAGAACTCCGGTGTTTATGGCATAAACCTGGAGCGAGATGTCTATATTCAGGCGTGAGCGGGCGGGACAATGGTATACAATGGCTTTGGAAGAGTCGAATTCGAATGAGAAGCCATCTGCCGATAGAGATACGATATGTGTATAGCTCGCACTGAACGCGTATCTCCTGCTTTAAACACGGTGTATAAGCTGCTGAAACGGTACAGATTCTCAAAGGCTAGAAGAGCAACATGGTATTGTTCGTCAAAACGCCCTTGAGAGCTGGGTCACCTCCGCCTAATCTGCTGTACCTTACTCACAATCCAGATCAATGATCTCAGGCCCAACATGCCCCGCTACCTTGTTCGCCCCTGTCTCAACCGCACCACTTGTTCCCTTCCCCTGCGCCAGATTGCCAAAAGGGCATCTCTCACCGCTCTCTTCCCTACCATCCTGCATGATACCTCCGAGCCCCACAACATCCTCCCATCCCTCCCCCAGCAACCCTCTCAACTTTTCAATTCCGATCTCCTCAACAGTCTTCCATGCAACCTCACATCTCTGCTTCCATTCCTTCATCGCATTCTCCCACTCCATCCCCGTCTTTTTCACAACGAGAGTGTATGGCGTCCGACGCTTTATGGTTTCCGTGCTGCAATAACTTTGTCTCAAGCGCTCTTCTATGTGATCGCGACGCTTGCCATTGAGCGAGAAGTGCACTTGGGCCCTTTGTTGATTATTAAGAAAGGCGTCGAGTTTTACACAGTCATCGCAATAGAGGCTACAGCCACGAGGTTGGCGCTCCAAGCCTGTAGGCTTTTTGGGGGCGGGTTGGACGTAGGTGTTGATGTAGGACGAGAGAACTGTGCGAAAGAGACGCGTATAGCTGTGAGGGTTTGCGATCTTGGATGCTCGTTCGACGGGCGGCGGAAGCTGTTTAATTAGTGGTAGAAGAACACCCTCGAAAGTCACGGTATTCGCGTTGGGAGCGTGCGAGATAATTTTATCGGCGAGCTGATCGATTTCACGAGAGAGACCCAGCTTTTCACAGCTGTGGAATAGACTCGCCAGTTTCTCTGCGGTCATGGCTCTCGGGCTTTGGTCTTCTGCGGCCTGAGATACGTGCCCATTGTAATCGAAGCGCCTTCGTTTAGCGTACTCATTCAGCAGCTGTTCGTGTCCAACTTCTCGGTACTGAATTTGGAGGTCTGAAATCACATCGCCAAGAATGTCTTGGAAGAGGTTCTGGACGATCTCAAGGCGAAGCTTATCGGCCTCGCTGGCTCGAAAAAGCCCTGTTAGGAATGCAACAATGAATTCTATATTAGAGGTGTGTTTCTTGACCAGTGGAAGGACCACTTGAAACGTGTACTTTTCGCCATATTCTTTAGAGGATTGTATCAGGGTCTGAGCATCAGCCGCCGTCACGACGATCGTCTCACTCTCTGTCGCCGTCATGCTCATGGCCATTTCACGCTCAATGTCCTGCATGTTGTGCATAGTAGCAGCAGTGCTCCCCGTAGCCCCTCGGTAGCTGCTGATGAACAGCTCCACGGCCCTCATACGTTCGGAGATGTTGGGAATGCGGAGTATCGCCATTTTTATTCTTGCGGGAAGTTAGCAAAGTACCAGAGGATGTGATATTTATTTACCCATTCTGCCAAAGGCTTACATCACGATCAGTGAGACCTTTACCCAGCTTCGGAAAGAGGTCGATAGGCAGCATTCGCGATGCCACCCTCGCGACCTCTTCTAGTAGATCTGGCCTATTGAGCCTCAAAGTAGCCTCACCAACGAAAGCCAGCTCCTCGTCAGAAACACGTGAGAGACCCTTGATTTCGGATTCTTCCTTACGCCAACTGAAGCTGTAGGAATCCTCCACAGATCCTTTTCGCGGCTTTTGCGGCGTCTTCTTCGCATCGATAACCATCTCACAGAACTTCTTCAGTTCCTCTCGTGACGCAATGGACAACGCCTCATCTTGCATCTCACTTAGAAGCGTGGCTATATACTCTCTAACATTGATTTCCCTAGCAACTGACACAAAGTTAAGACGGCGAGTCCTGGGAAGTATCACAGCGCAAGTCCTGTGATAGAAATGCGTGGCAGTGCATCCCTCATTGCCAGTCAAGCCATCACATTCCTCCTCATCCGGTTCAATACCCGTGAAGTCGGCATTCTCGAGGATTTCTTCTTCTTCCAAATCGATATCCTCTGCTAATTGCTGGCCATCAGACTGGAAGACAGTCAGGAGTTTCCAATTTGATTCAAGTTCATTGAGAAATTCATGATAGTCCGCATCGTTTAGGTGATCTGCCCAATCGGGATCATCCTCGTTTTCGTCGACAGTTCCAGACTGACTGTACTCAAACTGCGCGAAGAAGAGACAGAAGCCTTGATCTTGACAAGCTTCCGACAAGTAGCGGGTTCGAAGTTGATCTTTTCCTTTGAGATGGTCGAGACAGATGTTGGCTTCGGAGTACTCATGCTCGAGTATGTACACCATCTTTTCGTAGACATAGTCAGAATGAGACTTGATCTCGCGATCTTGCTTGCTCCAAAGTGCCAAGACCTTGTCCAGGTTCTGCTTGTGATCGCTCAAGATTGAAGCTACTCGGCTCGAACCGGATGCTTGGTGTATCAAGTTGTACGTCAAGACGAGTCGATACCCAGACTCTACTTTCGACACAGAGTGATTCACGTCAGCGTACCAGGCAAGGTAAGCGCAGCCAAAATCACATAGACCCTGCGTTTCAAGGGTCTGCTCCTCGTCTCTGAGTTGAACAATGACACGGCCACCAGTATGCTCAGAAGGTAGTGCGATCACAAGAGTGGCGAACATCCCTGGGGCTTTTTCGGTACTGCTAGTGCTCAGTATAATCACAGATGTCGACAGGGTTGGCAGCATACTCTCTGTGTTTGTTGAAGAACGCACCTGGTTCATACAGCAGCAACTTGTGCAACTCAGCACGAATACTGGAAGCGCCATCAACGACGCCAAGTTCCTGAGCGACTTTCCCAACAACCTCGTGTAGTGTCGATGGCCAGGCGGGATTACGCAGCTCGAATTGGCTAGGGTTCAGCTCCAATGTCTTGCGTACTGTCGGATCAACAAAGGTCTCACTGCCTTTGCCAAAAGGCGCCTCATGGCTTGCACGACTGAGGTCTGCAGCGTCTCGTTCAGAGAGTGGAAGCCCAACTTTTCCGATTCCCTTGACGAACAAGCCTGGATTACTGGCACCATTCAGTGGCCCAGAGGTTGCAAATTTGCCACTGTCGATAACCTGGAGATAGTTGCAGAGGTCCCCCTTGATGTCTAGCGAGTTACCAGCCATGTCAGAGCCAGCGACGCGTCGCAAGAACAGACAATTGGGTGAATCAATCAGAGCGAGTGCTATTGGTACGGTAGATTATGGGCAGAGACGGCCCCTAAGCAGATCAAAGTGAAAAGCAGCTTGCTGTATATACTTGAAGCGGTTGTGTGTAAGTGGCATGCGTGCACTCGCGTGGAAGACGCGACTTGCCTCGTGCTAAGCTCGCTAAACCCTTTTCGGATTAGCACTTTCCGCATATTCCGAAATCTCCAGGCTTAGCGAAACTTGAAATTCAAGGCAACGCGACGGTTCGGATGCTGCCATGAATTGACTGATGTATCCAGCAATATCCTCCAGGCCAGTAGCGGCATCTACTCGTCTGCTACAACCTCGGTATATTATTACTTGCCTAGAGCGACATAGTATTCTAACCCATTTCCCTTTATCGTGTACATGATATATGTCACCGCGAATTGATATCTCGATTTCAACAGAGATAGCAAATGTTGTGCTTGATATGATGCATTAGTCTTCAGGGATTGTTATCACGACTATGAAGGCGTCAAACCCACGCTACGCGAATTGGCCTCCAGATCATCACGCCCACCACGTTCAGCCACCGTGTCTCATTTGAAGTTCTCATCATATCATGTCTGCACTATCCTAAGAGAAAAGGTTCCCCTCGGGGATGCCTTTCAAGACCATCCGCCACGTCAACCACATCTATGCCATATCGAATGCTCTCATCACGTTCGCTCTATCCAGTAAAGAAAAGAAAAATCTTTGAGGATCCGCCTCAAGTCTATCGATGTGTCGCAGCCACGCCGCATGGTTTTGTCCCACATCCACCACGTTCAGCCATCAGGTCGAATCACTTGGTCTTGGGCGTCTTGTGTGCCTAGGCGATCCCGGTCGCCTCGGTCTCGGTAGCGGTCTTGGACTTTTTAGCGGCCCCCGACTCGACGGACGTCGTGAAGGCTTGACAGCACGACAAGCTGGGATCGTTGGGGTTGCCAGGCTCCAACTGAACTTTGGCTCGTGAAGAGATCTTGAATCCGAAACCTGGACGCCCAAGATATTCATGGGATGGACGAATCTTGTACTGTCCGGCCTCCAGCCCTTCCTTCCCACACAGACAGTGTATATCGCGCCACCACCGGTAATAGTAGCCTTCCTCTGCCTTTGTCACCACGTTTCCATCGATGTCGACATCCCCCTCCGACTGGTAGGCTTTCGCGGCGAGACCAAGACCCACTCTCGTCGCGCGAACCATCCCATTCAAATCGAACTCCGCCGGCCAATTTTCATGCAGTGTCTTTTGACCGCACTGAGTAAGAACCAAAGCGACTGCCAGATCATCAAGGCGGACGCCTTTTCCTGGAATATCCTTCGCTTCCTGGACGCCTGGATTCGAGTACAATGTATAATTATCGTATTGGCGGAAGGACTTGAACGGTCCGTCGACGGATGCACCAGTGTTGCGTCTTTCGGGATCATATAATTCGTAGCGGGCTGTGTTATACTGAAGATACCCGGGGGTAGGTGTTCGTGGCAATCCAATTTCGCGCTTGCGCTTCTTCGATGCGGACCCCGTGGGCATCTTCGACCCGTCGTCACAATCTTGTGGATGTTTTCCTTCACCGGTTGCTTTATTCTGGGTCATGCGCGGGTGCTCTGGAACCTCATCGGTGCGATCGTGCTCAAATGCGTTTTCCTCGACACCCTATAATCGTGTTATTACACATGATGAAAGAGACGATGAATCGAAGTCGTACTGTGCTCTTTCCGTCGTATGCACCATCTTTGCGATCTCCCATAGCCTCAATCATAGGCTCTGGCTCGGTCATGATGATTGAGTTGTGGGTGAAGAGGATGAGGTGACGCCAAAGTGGTAGGTAGGGAAACGTCAGTCAGAGATAAAAAAGAGAAATCGGTAGTCCAAGATTTATTGTTGAAAGTTGAAAGTTTGAAGGCGGAAGCTGGGGGGTGGGGGGTGGGGCCTTTTGAATATCTGGTGGTATGACTTGATGCGATTAGAGTGAAGCGCAGTGTCATCAAAGGAGTAGATAGGAATATGTCAGTCAATGCTAGAACAGAGGAATCATGTAGTCCAAGAAATGTTTTTGAAAACTGAAGTTTTTGAAGGCGGGGCCGGACCGTGGGAAAGGGTTTAGATAGCCGGCAATACGACTCGATATGAGAGTTAGAGTGAAGTGCCTAGTTGAATTGTGAGCTTAGATGCCCAAGTTTGAGGTTCGTCTAATTCAAATGTGAGCTTAGGTGTCCAGATTTGAGGTTGGTTTAATTCAAATGTGAGCTTAGGTGTCCAAGCTTGAGTTTGATATAAAGGTGAGCTTACTTGTTTGGATCTGAAAGGTTGAACTATGACGCTGCTGTCATGGACGAGGTGGGGGACGACTCTCGATGATCATTTGAAGCCACCTCCCCCTGGGGCCCAAAGTGCCTTTCTAGTTCCCTTACTTACTCCATGGTAAGCCATAACGTACAACGCGGCTAAGTTGATGCGGATGGCGCGAGGGCCGTCATAGCTATTATCGCTATTTTTGTACTTGTTGCTGTTGTTGTATTGTTGTTATTGTTGCTGGCATTCACATTAGCTCTAATTATTGCGAGCGGGGTTTTTATTTCGTCCTTCCCCCTCTAATATACTTCTCCGCCTCTAAACGCCTAAGTTCTTCTTTGATATCTATCATTCTCATTCCTCTCACTCTGTGTATCTAGTACGCCTTATTACCCTCCATTATGTCAGCATCTTCAATGTCTCCTGAGGCGTTATCGTCTATGGAGATGGCGCGAGCCTGAAATATACCACCCAACATAGTTCCACACGTCCAACCTCGCCTTCGCTATTCTCTCCTCTCTCCATCTCGCCCAAGTAGCCCACATACTCGAGCTTCCAATCCTGAACAAAGAGCTCGAACAGCAAGCCAACCACAACCACCAGCACCAACATAGTCGTGTCCCCTCCACGAGTCAAAACTAGCCTTTAGCAAGAAATTATCACCGGGTCACCGCACCTACCTAGAAACACCCCCCCCAAAACACATATACAGTCACCGCCGACTTCAGATCGTGACCCACGGCCTCCGAATTGCCATAATCATCGCTCAAATCACACCCGCTAGCTCAATCACGGCAGGCTCGAACACCCTGCCCAGCTCTCGCCGCTCGCCGTGAAGTTTCCCCCGCACAGCCTGACCCGAACACCGAAGACCAAGGAAACCGAACGGATGCCCGCGCCCCGCCCGGCTCACCGACGCCTTGGCTTCGTGACTGGGGCAGTGCCTCGGCGTCAGAGACACCCTGAGCGGTTTCGATTACAAGGAGTCGATGCTCGGAAACCTATGTGTCAGATACGTGATGGCAAACGGGTTCAATAGCATGCACGCACACCTTTTGAGTAAAGAACTTGGATGTGACTCTTTCTCCTTTTTCGCGACGCTAATACCTTGCCTAAAACTTACTCGGTTACTCTTTACGCGGTGCCGTGGTGGCCTTGATTTGTGCATAAGCATGGCAAACCCAAACCCGAATGCAAGAAACCATGATGTCGATATTGAGCCATACACGCACTCAGTAGTCCTCGAAGATGTCAAAAACGGTGAATTCGATACTGAGGAGGAAAATGACCAGATCATCGGCGTCGTTGAGCCGCGGCACACACGGTCCACATCTACAACCCATTGGAGCAACGCATATGACAAGCATTCCCTTCTGTCTCCCGCGTTCTGTTGATGGAAATATACTCACGGCATAAAGTGCATGATCTGGATCAATTCATGACACGAGTGCAAAAGGAGCGGGAAGAGGTTGCGTGAGGGTTCCGCTGTTTTGCCGAGGACACTCGAACCAAATCAGGTGGCTCACGGCTTGCCGTCCGTACATCCCACAAGTCTTTTAAGTCCTGTGATACTGTAAGGAAAAGAAAGGTGATAGCGAAGGCTGCTTCAAACTCAGAGTATGCGGCCTCTAATGTAATGTCATTTCGGGCTTCCAGATAGATGAAACGAAGTAATCTGCCAAACATTCATGAGCTCAACATGTCATCCACCAAGCTTTACCTTGCATCATGCAACACACCGTATACAAACTTTCAATCAGGTCTAGCAGAAGGGTCCAACCATAATATGCCGTCAACTCCTCTACTCGACTTCCTTGTACGTGAGTAGCTTCGGACCCTCCAAGAACCTCCCAACAATTAGCCACCTTCTAACCTCCGGGTGGTGTTTCGCAGCAAGAAGTGCGCTGTAACACTGCCCGTCTTTCTCATATGATGTCTTTGCACCTCTCGCGACAAGCAATCTGACTGCCGCAAGGCGACCGGTCGCGCAGGCCCCCATCAACGCAGTGCCATACTCGGATCCCTCGACCTCAAGTTGGGCACCCGCGTCAAGCAACAGGTTTATACTATCAAGTTTTGCCAGCGCAGCTGCAGTGTGTAGTGGTGTGCGTGAATATAGATCGGGATGGTTCAGGAGTCTGGGCAGAAGGCCGGTCGGTAGTCGCCGTAATAACTGTCTAACGTCAGTTGCGGAGCGACAACCAACAGCTGTGCTCAAGGTGTTTCCTGTTCGAGACTCATAGGCTTCGACCGGGAGCGCCAGGTTCAACAACAATGTCATTGGAAAGCTTGATGTGCGACTCATGGCTTGATCGAAGAATGATATACCCAGTGTGTCCTCTGCACCTAGATCGTGTCCAGTCGCTGTGTTCAGCAGAAACACAAGCACATCCTTTGATCCAGAACTTGCAGCGAGGTGTAGAGCGTTTTGACCATAACGATTTCGTAGTTGGATGTCTGCACCACCTTGCAGCAATGCTCGAATTGAATCAACTTGGTTGTGGATAGCAGCAGTCATGCATGGACTTTCGAGACTCGTATTCACGGCGTTCAGGTTTGCTCCTGAGTCAAGGAGGAGTCTTACTATGGCCATCTGGCCATTAGATGCGGCATGATGCAATGGTGTCGCGTATTCCCCGTCCACGCAGTCAATAGACGCTCCGTAGTCCAACAACATCAGTACAACATCTGAATTTCCCTCGCTTGCGGCGATGTGTAGTGGCTTTGCTGTTAAGAGCGATTCGGGAAACGATCCACTACGCGCAGCGTACCAAGACCAACGGAGCAGCTCGCCCCGCACCTGCATGTTGATCATCCAACCAAGAGTTTCCTGCAACGTGCCACGCCCATCGCAAAAGCTTCTTCCTTTTCCTGTGTCGGTGCTCTTGTTACCATACTAAAGGAGCCGAGACGAGGATAAGTGCATACCTTGACTAGCGTGCTCTAACATCAGCTTGACACACTCAGTATTGTTTTCAAGTACAGCATAGTGTAGAAAATGTATCGGATCGTGATTAGCATATATCTCGCTCGGAGCTTTCTCAAGTAGCAATCGAAGCAGCTGCACGGAGCCCCGAGCTGCGGCGTAATGGAATGCAGTGAACCCTCGAGTTGAACAAAATTCACATGCACTACCTGCAGTTGAGGCTCCTTTAAAGACCAGGTATTTGGAAATGGCATGTTGTCCTTTACGGAGAGAGTAAAGAAGAGGTGTGCATCCCATGCACCACTTAAAACCAGATCGGAGATCTACTCCATTCTTAACGAGGCGCGTGCAAAGTTCAAGGTCTCCTATATCTATAGCTATCTTCAATGCTTCCAATGCTCCGTGGGTTTTGCCTGGTCTCTGACTGTGTGGGTGAGTGTTTGCGTCCTCGTCTGCGGAAACACCGAATTAGATTATTCGCATAAGTTCCGTTGGGCAGATTCGCAAGACCCACTTTGTTCATGAACATAGTCCATAATGATCTTTGCAAGGCTCTCGTGACCATACTTCCTCGCTACCAACTCGGGGTCCAGTCCAAGGCTGTTTGCCAGCCCCAAGTCTGAACCATGTCCTATGAATTCAACAATGACTTCTTCATCACCCTCTTTCGCAGCCCAATGAATTGCACTATTTCCAAACGCATCAACAACACTAGCGTCTGCCTTGTTCGACAACAAAAGAGACACGTTTCGGGATGCTCGTGCCCATACGGCCACACTCAACGGCGTTTCTCCACGGTGTGTGCAAGCGTCAATGTTCGACATGAGATCTTCGTTCAGCAAGTATTCGAGAACGCTGCTGTCCTTGAATTGGGCGGCGATATGAAGCGCAGTGACATTTTTACGTCGGGAGCCCATGATTGTAGCAGTTGTCTTACTGTTCCAATCTATACCCGTTTCTCTCAATTGAACAAGAATATTTTTGTGATCATTGAAGCAAGCACAATGAACTGCGTTGAGCCCTGAATCATTGATGCACGGATCAGCTTGATGGAGTAGCAAGGTGCTTAAAAGAGCATCATTCCCACTTCCTGCTGCAGCCATGAGCGCAGTTCTACCGTTCGAAGAAGGAATATTACAGTTGAGACCAAGTTCCAGGAGACCCAAGACGATCTCATTGGCACTACAAAAAGAGTGTGTGCAAGCTAAGTATATCAGCTCAGAGCCCAACCGTAGGTCTGAGGCGAGTCTAGGGTTCCCCAGCAGCTTCCTTAGCAGTGCTCGGCTAGCAGCAAAAAGGTGATCAAGTTGATCTGAAGACAAAGAACTCTCCCTGATGATCCTCACGAGATCATGAAGGGGTGTGAATCCGTCATTGCGAGCTTTGTGGGAGTCCACACCGTATTCAAGCAGAACATGTACAATTTCTGGAAGCGTTTCGCTGTTCCCACTGATGGCATAATGCAATGCGTTCGACTCATCGAGGGTCACCGCACATGGATCAATAGTCTGTCCAATGAGGAACTTAACACCTTCCAAGCTGCCAGACTTGGCAGTATAGTGTAGTGCAGAGCATCCATCTGAAGTCGTCTCGGTAAGGCTACTGCCGGCCCGGAGAAGTAAGCTCATGGCTTCTTTAGACCCATTCGCTGAAGCGCAGAGGAAAGCCGTCCTTCCATCATTCGCTTCGAGACCAGTCGTTAATGCTGAAACGACCGGCATACTCAGCAGAATGCTCAGTGCTTGAGCGTTGCCTCCTTGAGCAGCTAAATGCACTACGGTCATGCCTTCTAAGTCCCGAAGACTAGTATCTGCATCCTGCTGCAAGAGAAACTGAAGACAACGAACCTCTTTTCCCTGGACGGAATGATGTAATGCGGTCCTTCCTCGGCTATCCGGTCTGCTCGAATTGGCTCCTCGATCCATCAATATTTGCGCAACCTCGAGCTGATCGGTCCTTGCTGCATGGTGAAGGGCTGTGAATCCCGTACCTTCATCTGCTGCATCAACATCAAGCTTCTGATTGTCCAGTAAGCGTGTTACGATCTCCACTTGCCCAAATTCAGCAGCAGTACGCAAGACATCCTCGTAGTGCGTGTTTTGACAGGGCAGATCATTATCCTCATGCATTATGCGAGTCGCGTTGGACGAGGTCTTCGCTCTCAAAGCCAATTTAAGCAAACGACTGTGGTTCTTTCGCACCACGTTATCGTTGCTTGTATGTTCTACCAATTTGCAGATATCTTCAGATCGCGCATGGTTTTCAAGTATGTCCAGGCAGCCACTGTCAAGTAATCCACCCCTATCAAGCAGCCTCTCAGCAAGATCCCATCGCCCAGTAATCAAGGCCATGAAGAGAGGTGACAGCTTCTCAGTGCCCAGATCATAACAGCAGTTTGGATCCGCCCCACATTCTAGAAGGAGGTCAACAGTGTCACCAGTGGTGTCATCGGACGGAACAACCCTTGGTCCTCGTCCCAATTGTTTCAGGGGTTTCTTGAAACTCCATTGCCAAGTGTCAAGACTCAGAATCGCGAAGTGAAGTGGTGTACCAGAACTAGTGTTTCGGTTGACGTCACATCCACTCTTGATAAGCCAGTTACACGATTTGGTGAGGCCGTACATGGCGGCGTAATGCAGCGCGGTTGCTTCAGCAAACATAGAGCTGATGATACTCGGTGTTTCCTTATATTGAGACACCCGTGCAGGATGTTTGGCAGTCATATCGTGCATCCATGAGACTAATGTATTCGGTTTAGAGGGGCTGAACAGCTTCTGCACCAGTCGAAAAAGTTCAGGGTCATCCAAGTTCTTGCGAGCAACGTGATGCCATCCGTCAATAGCATAGTATCGAAACGGGTACTCATGAAAACGACGATCCACTACATGCTGGCTAAACGGACCGCCTTGGTCGAAGTCTTCAAAGTTCAGGTATGTAAGGCACACCTTTGCAAGTATGAGCTTGTCGCTTTTAGGATCGATTCGATACGCCCCAAATGAAATACCTCGTCTGGGATCAATTTGCCAGAGGAATTCCTGGACCGTAAAGTGAGCTAACTCCAGCGTTCTACCGTTCGCCGATTTTCGTACAAGGCTGCTGCACCAGTACAAGATCTCGAACAAGTCAGGTATAGCCCGAGAATTCCGCCTTGTGCTGCCGAAGTCAATAGATACGGCTTCACACAAACCTTCGGTGGTGAAGTCGTATGTTGTGTCAACATATGTAATCCAACGTAACGCCCTTCGAACAAGCTTCTGCGTTTCTGGGTTACTTTGGTTCACCCGATCTAAGATCCTCTCATACGTCGAGGTCAGGTCGGGTGGCAAAGATCCTAGTGCTACGCGGCGGGCGGCATCGTTCGGTAACTCACACAAGTAGTCCATCTGACAAGTCACCCAGCGAAACCTTGCTCAGTCGCCCTGTCAGTAAAATCCCGACATCCTATAACATGTGTGGGTAACGAAATGTAGAACATACATGCCTTCTGCGCCTTCCACCAGCCTTTCCAAGATGTGTTCTTTGAGTGACTGATCCTTGATCCTGAGCCTTTTTTTACGCGTTCTGAGATCAATCTCAGCCCCAACGTAGAGCCTAAGATCGCTACTCCTGGCGGCAATCGAAACCTTTGTGTAATTTTCCAGACGCTCGCGAATTTCTATCTCGTCCCTGCTCAGGAATATTGTCTTGACGGTAGTATCCTCACCATCATTGAGGGCGGTAAGAGAGTCAACCACTACGGGCGCATTCGTCCCACATTCGTCAAGCCCGTCGACAATGATCATAGCACAATCGAAGGCTAACGCCACTTCCCTTACAAGACTCCACAGAACTTCAGAGTCATACCTAAAATTCGCTTGATGCTCTGGATTATGAGTCTCGTAGAAATCTCGAAGCTTCGCAAAGCTCTCTTCGTCCTGCTTAGCGAACTGCTGAGCCAATGAACCTAGTATGTTCGACAAGTCTTGCTTGGCTGAATCTTTGTAGTCGCAGTAAAAAAAGGCAATTGCGATGCTGGGGCTGCTCATTCGCAAGGCTTCCTCGATCACAGAGGAGGCCAAAACGGTCTTGCCCGCGCCTGGAATTCCGTAGAACCAAAGTCTGGCGTTTTTGGTTTCCCACCATTGTCTGAATTCTTGACCTTCTGTCAACCAAAGACCTGTGCCAGGGCTCCGCAGCTTTCGGCTCATGTCGTGATTGCTGCGAGAATCGACCTTCGCAAAAGATTTCAAGATTTCTTGTCTCTCTTTGTTGATGGCGATGCGCGTTTCAGCTTCGTGTCTCTCCTTGAGCTCGGTCCTCATTCCCTCAATTGTATCGAGAAATTGGTCTTGTCTGGATAGCGCCTTGAGGAGACCGGACATACAGTCAACGTTCAATGCTAGCCCCAATGTTGTCTTGTGACGCTCAACTTCTGAGATTAGGTCTTTCACCTCTGAAGATGTAAATGGCCATCTTAACTTTCTCTTGAGGGTCTCTAGTCGCTGATCGCCTAGCGAAGATGTGTCATCTCTATCCAAAATAGATTTCACATGTTCTAGCGTTTGATAGCATGAGTGGATGTGATGTACCCGTGTAGTTGATTCGAATGTCTCGTCTTCAAGCTGACGAGAGACCAGTTGCAGATTGCTGAGGATTCCGTAGAGGGCGCCTATCTCCGCAGACAAGGCTGATATCTCTTCCGATGCTTTTTTGACAGCTTTCACGTACTTGAAGGTCCGACGAAAGACTATATCAGCGAGGGTAATCAGGCCAGAGATACTAGCGGAGACGGATAGAGGATCTGTCATCCTTTGTGATATTGTTAGTCTAATGCTCAGCTATGGAGCATAGAATGGAGAAGACGGAGAGCGAAAGATGAAGATATTCGAGAGCAAGGCTACGGAGCTGATGTTCCGCCTCGGCCTGTATTCAAAACCGTCTGGAATGCTTGGCACCGGAGATCTTTCACATCACACACCCAAATTCGTGTGGCATAGGAATCTCTCCGCGAATTTATTCAATGACACTGCTATCGTTATTATAGGTCTCAAATAAAAAAATAAAGCTATACTAAAGTCTTAGCAGCATTAAGAGTCTAATTCTATATTACTCGACTATATATATCTAATATAGAGCTCTATCTTAGACGTATCGATTTTAACTAGAGATATTAGAATATAATATTATTACTCTTTACCCTAGTCTTATTACTTCTTATCTTTATTCTTACTCTTATCTTTATTCTTTTAAATAGCGTTATTTATTATCTTAATTATATTCTATTCAAATTATCTTAATTATATTCTATTTAATTATTTTTAGAACTTTAACTCGAGCTACTCGTTTTTACTTTTATTTATATATTACTCTTATTTATACGCTTTAAAATTCGATAAATTTAACGTAATATTAAAATGTCTATCTCTTATTAAATTTATATAATTAGTATATATATATTAGAAAAGAGACTTAAGAGTTCTAAGTGAGAGAATCTTAAATTATTTAGTTTATATACGTCTAATATACGCTTAGCGAAGTTTTAGCGAAGTCTTAGCGAATAAGCTTAAGTAAGTAATTCCTCTTAAGTTTTCTTTACTTTCTTAAAAATTGGTTTTATTATTAAATCGATATATGAATATATCTATCTTTCTAATTTTATATTATTATATAACTCTAAAACTCTTTAAGTTTAATAATTCTAATTCTTTAACTCTTTTTAAAGATAGTAATTTAAAATTAATATAATAATTACTATTAGAGTATAGTCTTAATATTTATAAAATAGATTATTATTAATTAATATAATATCGAATTAAAATATTATTATAATATAATTAAATATATTAGAGCGTATTATAAATTTAAATAAAGAGATCTTTTTATTAGCTATAGATAATAATTTAATAAAGAAATCGAGTAGTAGTAATAATAATAATACTATTATCTATAGTTAAGAAAGTATCTTAAATAAAAAGTAAGATATTAATAAATAGATTAATAAATTTATTTATACTCTAAATAATAAAGTAGAGTATATTACTCGTTATTAAGATATATTTATATAAGAATATCGCCTTTAATCTTTAAAAGTAAAGATTATTTTATTTAAATAAGATAAAACGCTTATAGATTATAGTTATAATAGCGATAATAATAGATTAAGATTATTAATAACTTTAGAAATAAAGAGAATTATAAATAATATTAGTCTCGAATATAATAATATCGTTTAATAATCTCGAAAAATAATTTAATTAGAGAGATTATTAATCTATTATAAGAAGAGTATTTAAGAATATTAAGCTTTAATATAAGAGATAAATAAAGCGTTTCATCTAACCTCGAAAAACTTTCTTATTAAAAAGAATAAGATTCTTTAAGCTTATTAATTTTTTAATAATAATTAGAAAAAATTATAAATTAATAAGAAGAATAGATTTCTAAATTATAATTATATATAGTAGAAGTTTATTAATTTTTTATTAAATTAAATTAAAGACTTAGTAAATCGCGAATTTAATATTATTTAAGTATATATAAATATTAATTAAAGATAAAATTAAACTATATATTAATTTAATAATTATCTTCAATTATTAAAAGTCTAAATAAATCTTTATACTAAGAATTAATAAATATATTACTTATTTATAAAGCTTTATATAAATCTTCGCTATTAATTAGCTAATATTTAAATTATATTAATTAAATAAAATAAGCTTTTAACGTTTATAATTTTATTAAAGAATAATAATAGAAAGTAAAGATTTTTTAGAGAATATAAAGTAAGTAGTATTTCTAATCTATAAGAGAGCTAATAACGAGAAAATTAATATTCTTAATATAAAAAATCGCAATTATCGCGAAGATAAAACGACTTTAATTTAAGAGATAAATAATTTTAAGATTATAAGTTTAAGAATAAATTTAAGAATAATAAGTCTTATCTAAATAGTATAAAATATTATAATTATAGAGAAAAAGAATATTACGCTAATATTTATATTAAATCGAAAAAATAGAAAATAGAAAATTTAATAATATATCGATTAATTTAATTAATAATTATAAGTAAAGGCCTATGAATTAAATTTATAGAGTTGAATTTTTCTAAGTTAAATCGAATTTTAGCCCTAGCCCTAAGTTAAATCGAACTCTAATCGCTTACTATACGTTTTTAACCTATATATAAATATATATATACGAAGAGAGGCGCGCTAAGATCTTATTAGAAAGGTATATTAAGTATAGAGAATTAATTCATAATAATTATCTATAAAAAATAGAGAAAGAGTATTAAAATATTAGAAAGAAATGAAGATAACATATTAATTAGTAATATGAATCTCACATTATCTTCTATCGTAGTGAAATCTTTCAAATAATAAAATAGCTATTAGAGTAAGATATCGAATAATTTTAATTTATTTAAATATATATCGTTCGATATTTCTTCTATAGAGGCTTAATTAACTATAATTATTATAGTAGATTCTTCTCTTATAACATTATTATTAGTATATATAAAAGAATAAGATAGAGCTAAGCTTGAAAATCTTGAATTTATATATATAGTTAATTATCAATTTAAGATTACTATGCTCTTTAGTTAAATCGACTAAGTTAGCCCGCTAGCCCTTCTAAGCTTTCTTATTAAAAATTTATATATAGAAGTTTTATACTCTAGAATAATCAGCTTTCTACGAATATTATTACTTTATAATTTCGTAAATTATAAAGCTTAATTTACGCTTTCTAACGATATAAAAATTATAAAGTTTAATCTACTATTAATAAATTAAATAGATATTTAAATATAATAGTTATAATAGTTATACTAGACGCGTTCAAGATCGAATAATAATCCTTTCATCTATTTATATAACTATTCTTCTTTTACTATTCTATTAATTTACTAATTAATTTATTAATATAAATATATTCATTCTCGATATATTACTAAATACTTTAGATATATATATCTCTTTTACTCGCCTCTTAGAGCCCCTACTAACATCTCTAAATTATCTCTTAACGAATTTATTATTACTAATAATCGAGGCTATAAGCGAGCTTAATAGCTATTTACTACTACTTATAAACGTATTAGAAAATTCTTAAAAGGAGTCTAAACGAATTTATAGTTATTATTCTTCTCTATATACTTCTCTTAAACTAGCGATAATATCTTTTAACCTAGCAATACTATCTCTTAAAATACGTCTTTCTTTTTAATTTATTCTTTATTATTCTATTTTAATTATATTTTTTAATTACTTAATTAATACTATCTACTTTATTAGCTTAGTAATTTACTTAATTAGATTATTAGCTAATTACTTAATTATTTACTTAATTAATTACTTAGCTAGTTACTTAATCTAATACTCTATAAAAAAAGAAGTAAGAGAAGAAACTATAATAGATAAATATAAAGAATACTACGAAGAATACTATAGAGAATATTACGAAGAAATTAAGTAATAATAAAATTCTTAGCACTAAGAATACGGCTTAGCTCTCTAAGATCTCATATTAAATTATTACTTAGTAAGCGAAGAATATTACTATAATTTAGTCTATTATTTCTACTATATTAAGAAATAAGAGAAGAAACTATAATAGATAAATACGGAGAATACTACGGAGAATACTATAAAGAATATTACGGAGAAATTAAGTAATAATAAAGCTTCTAGTACTAAGAATATAGCTTAGCTCTTTAAGATCTCATATTATATACTCTCTATAATTCTATATTAAATTATTATTTAATAAGCGAAGAATATTATTATAATTTAGTCTATTATCTCTACTATATTAAGAAGTAAAAGAAGAAATTATAATAGATAAATACGGAGAATACTATAAAGAATACTATAAAGAATACTATAAAGAAACTAAGCGATAATAAAGCTCTTAATACTAAGAATATAACTTAACTCTTTAAGATCCCACGTTATATACTCTCTATAATTCTATATTAAATTATTACTTAATAAGCGGAGAATACTACTATAACTTAGTTTATTATTTCTACTATATTAAAGAGTAAGAGAAGAAACTATAATAGATAAATATAAAGAATATTACGGAGAAATTAAGCGATAATAAGATTATTATCGTTAAGAATACGACTTAACTCTTTAAGATCTTATATTATATACTCTTTATAGTTCTATATTAAATTATTACTTCGAAACGATATATATTTAAATGAATTAAAATCGTTTAATATCTATAACTATTTTATTATTCGAAAAATTTTACTACGATAGAAGATATTATAGGATTTATACCACTAATTAACATATTATCTCTATTTCTTTTTAATATTTTAATACTTCTTACTATAAGAATATAGTCTTTCTCTATTTTTTATAAATAATTATTATATCTTTCTAATTAGGCCTTAGCGCGTCTCTCTCTATATATATATATCTATATATTATATAGATTAAATTAATTTAATAGTAGTAAAAGTAGATTAAAAACGTATAGTAAGCGATTAGAGTTTAATTTAACTTAGAACTAAGACTAAAATTCGATTTAACTTAGAAAAATTCAACTTCATAAATTTAATTTATAGATCTTTACTTATAATAATATATTATATTAATATAATAGAAATAATAAACTAAGTTATAATAATATTCTTCGCTTATTAAATAATAATTTAATATAAAATTATAAAGAGTATATAATATAAGATTTTAAAGAGTTAAGTCGTATTTCTAATAATAATAATCTTATTATCGCTTAATTTCTCCGTAGTATTCTTTATAGTATTCTTTATAATATTCTTTAT